GTGTGTGTGTGTGTGTGTAGATGGATGGTGTTTTGGTTTTAAAGGTGTTCAGGTCGACTGACTCAGTAACCAATCACAGCGCAGCATCAGGACCAAACAAGAGAAGAAGATGAAGATGAAGATCTGACAGGCGGAACACACTGTGTGTGTGTGTGTGTGTGTGTGTGTGTGTGTGTGCTGCTGGTCATTAATCAGAGTTTCAGTGACTTCATCAGTTTCTCTTCAAGGACGCTGCAGCTTTTAGAAACTTCACACATTAAACACACACAAAGATAAAATAGATTAAATTATATTATGTTGCCTTTTATTCTATTTTATTCTCTTTTATTTTATAAATGCTTCGTTAAACACCGGCTGCCAGACGGACTCACATGTTCCTGGGATGCAGGTCATGGTGGACGGGCTCAGCTCCACCATCCGGACCGCCGGACGGCCTGCTGCTATTGGAGGGACGGTTACCATGGAGACCTGCAGAGACACAGGCAGAGGAGGAGCTAAGGGTAAAGTTCAGCAGCATCTCCAGAAGCTTCAGCCCACAGAGGAACGGAGGTGTTCCTTCACTAGATCAGTTTCCTCCAGAAGAGAAACACACAGAAGTTCCACCTGAGCTTCAACAAAAGTCTGTCACGCAAAAAACACACAGATTAAATTCATCCTATTACTGAACACCGCAGGCTAACGCTAACGCTAACACACACACAGAGCAGAAGATCTATGAAACATCATGATTCTCTGACCAAACTTAATTCAATATTTCAATATTTAACCCGAAACTAATTAGTGTCTGTCTGTGTGTGTGTGTGTCTGTCAGTGTGTGTGTGTGTGTCTTTGTGTGTGTCAGTGTGTGTGTGTCTGTCAGTGTGTGTCTTTGTGTGTTTTATCAGACCAACAGGTGAATTTGAGGATTTTCTGTCACTGATGGATCCTTGTTTGACTTTATTGTCTCTTCACCGTGTTTCACTGATGAATCAGTTAATTCTGTGAACAGAACTAGTTAACCAGTACTAACACAGCTAAACCTGACCAGC